GTGTAAAGGATTCTTTATATGATGTGTAGTATAGATTATTATTTGGTAGTTTTTATGAAGAATATAATTGCAGTTTTTCTTAATCATTAATTAAGTTCAACATTAAACAGTATGTTATTTAATTATTCTGTCATTATATATGTTAAGTACACCAGTGTTACCATATATATATAACGAAACAAGCTAAAATTTGTTATTGTAGGACTTTATCAAAATAATAGAAACATAAAACAACGATTCTTAGAACTTTATCTGTTTATCTGTGTATTCATGCACGCTATTTTAGAAACAGCTTAAATGGGTGGCGTATTAAATTAAAATGCACGAAATAAGTAGAGTATGTTTTATTACAGTCGGAATATATATAATAAAGTTAAAAACTATTGTTATTTCATTCATGAGTGCAAAGTACCAGAAAAGGAATATAATGTGAGTGTAGATAAGAAATACTATCGTAGTACAAAATTGACAGATCTGTTTGAAATTTGAAATTTAAAACATTCTTCTTTGAATTTCGCTATACAATTTACACTAGATTTGTGAATATTCACTGACTTATACCCTACATCAATGAGGTGTTATACAAAAAGTAAACGAGAAATCCCTGATAGAAACAAATATGATTAGAAAGCGACCACTCGAGGCGACATGTTTTTTAAAGAAATTGAAAGGAAATGCCGGGAGAAAAGAAAGACAAGTAAAAATAGAGAGATAAAAGAATAAGAGATATAACAGAATAAGAGAATAAAATAGAAATCATCTTTATTCAAATTAAGTTAGAATTAGATTAACATAAAGACTTTTAATTACATTATTCTACCGATCATTCGGAATATTGATTCACTTAAGAAGTACCAGCTATAAACGTAGTGAATATATATATAATTTTAATTTTGTAATATTCAATTTATAAAAATTATATTAAATATAATAATTTTTATTTATTAATATAGAATATAGTAGAATATATTTCTTTAAAAGAAAGGCATGTCATGTCGCTTAGGGTCAATAGTAGAGTCAAGAAGAGCACGAAATAGACTATTAATATCTACAACATAAAATATACATTACTGTGAATAACAGAGAGAATTCCCTAAAAATATTCTAAATTATTAATTAACAATCACAATTATCGTAACACTAGCCTTCATCAGGTATGGAATAGACATTTACCTAAAAAATAATAATTTTCATAAAAGAAACTATAACAACTAAATTGTCCAAATTAACGTTATTATTTTTATGAAATTTTAAAACAAGAATTACATTTAAATTCTCGAATACTCGATTGATAAACACTCAGTATTTGTTTTAAAAAAAAAAGATTTTGTATATATATACATTTTCAACTAAAATACTATATACTGGCTATAACAGAAATAACTGTTTTCGGCTTAATTTATTCACAATTTCTATTAGAATAGCCTAATAGAATATTTAAATGACCCATTCACTACTAATCTCGTTAAATTTAAATCTAAAATGAGTACTCAAATAATTTTACTGGCTTAAATGATCAAGTTATATGTCATAGTTTAATATGGGCATACACATGTATTAAGTAATAAAGAATAGGCTAATAATAATGTAAGATCAATGATTAAATAATTAAAGTCTTTTTCATAATTGGACTTATAAGAAGCATGGTCTTCCACAGTCCATCCACCATAGAGAAATAAATATATCTTTAAATACGTATATATTATATTAATGCAATATCATACATAAAATTCACATGATAATTTCAGTCAGTAAAATACATATCTGTACATAAATAATGTTAAAACCACTATTAATATCGTTCAATAGTTGTAATACAAACCTATCGTTTCCCTACTACAAAAAACTAACATATTATACTTAAAACATAATATAATTATTTAATCATGTACATAGTACATAAAACTATACATAATAATACATCGATGTCCTACTAGAAGTAAATGTAGGTGATAATTATGATTATATCTAATAAAAACACAACAGTATGACTCTATGAGAACTCTAACTGCGTCTACCACTCGTAGATAACTAAATATATTGCTCACCGTTGACTCACATTACGATTTGACACTTTACAAATATAATTTAGTAATAAAACACTTACAGAATACCTACTAGTCCAAAATCACATTTAAATTTTCATTTTGCCATTTTACATAGATTCGTTCAAAAAATGGGCGTATTACATTATCGTATATTCTTGTATATATCTACATATATATTACAAACATGTATACAGTATGGATATAAATATGAAATTACAATATATTGTAAAATTGTAATAGATACATAAAGCGCTATAGATTAAAAAACACTAACTATGATCCTAAATATTTGATATTGTAATACGCTCTTTAAATTTAAAGACTGAATTTTAAAAAAAACCGTTATAGTTGATCCCTTATTAATAGCACGTCGCATCAGATGATATTCTTACGTAAATGGAACAAAAACATGTTGACTGTCCATCGGATGGTAAATGGTTAGGTTCGTTAGGTTCGCCTATGTACATGACAGATCACGTTGTTCTATCACGTCGGTGACGCCACCCATGCCTTGCTATTCAGGACGACTAAGATATCATGCCTCCACAAACTGTAATTTCACTGTCCCGTTCATCCGAAACATAGCTCACAAGGCTTTTTACAAAGTTTAGTTCATATTCAATCGAATCTATTTTGCGGAAGTCCATTTCACTACTTAATGGATTTATATTATTTTGTTTAATTCCGTTACAATTAGCATTAGTAAGACCACAAATATTCAATGTGGAAACTTGGCTACCGTTACGACCTTCTCTAATGGCGATCAAATTCCAATCGTTTCGAGTCTACACCCGTCAGATCAAATCACGTGTCCCAATATGAGTGTAAATTGCATGACGGAATGAAACAAAATATATAAATCAATTAAGTAAAGTTTAGGTTAGAACCGAATGAAAATTAAGATATTTAAGATATCATTGTATTATATTAAATTAATATTACTCAAATATACATTATTACACAGCCATATGACGTACTTTGCAGAATTTTTTATTGCATCAAATGCTTTTTTACCACGATCTCTTATTTTTTTGTTTGAAAAAAAGTTGTTCAGTTCAGTCTCAGTTGCTATCGACTGCTGATTTGTAGAAAAGGAAAACTCAGGATATTTCCTGTTTTCAAAACTTTTGATATTCTACTGTATCTACCACTGACATGTCGTTAAAAGTCTACTGAATTTGTAACTCCAGTTATTCTCAATCCAGAATAACCTTTTGAACATTTAGTGCTTTGTGCGTTTGACCGCGCCATTCACAATGTTGACAGTCTATTTAAAATTTTCAATATATTTAATATTCTACAAAGAATTCTAATTTAATACATTTTACAGGTATTCTTCGTAATATATCATACTGTTGGCAAGGTTTCTTATATCTGAACTGGTAATGTAAATATACATTTTTAAGTACAAATTTTGAAATTATAATGATTCCTAAAAACCAATAAATTTATATAATATTTTATCTCAATTCTAATGACTTAATAAAATACTTATTTCATTCACAATCTCTTATAAATTTAATTATTTATCCGATACAAAATTAAAATATACCTTTGATAGAGTTGTGATTACTTTGTTTTATATCACACGCCTAAGATCTTCCCTGTCCTACAATTGTATATATACAATACGCCTTTAAATCCCTGTTTCGTTATTAATTACCATCATTATCATTCATACAAAAACTTAGAACACGCCTACTTAAAAACAAATCAACGTGAATAATATACTTGAAAATTCCAATCTTATCACAACACATCTAAATTACTTTGTAATATTTAATTCATAAGTGCCTATTCGATTGTTACGATAGACGATTCTTATATTTTTAAAGGCGATATATTTTCAACAAATTATTCTTGTAGTTATAATTTTTTTTTTTGTATATACATATATACATACTGTTTTAAATTTGACGCGGTCATTCTTTATACATATAATTAGTGAATCACTGGTTCTTACCACATTTTATTTTTATGGAGCTCCCGATATTTCGGCAGTGTTTTAACTGCTATCTTCACGGGTAATTTTTATTATTATACACGTTTTACTATTTATACATATATATTTTATCCGGTCATGGTAAACACCGGTAACAAATCTAATTAATTAACCCATTAAACGGTAGGATTACCCCTCGCGTTGAATTCAGGGAGTAGACCAAACCAGTCATATATATATATATATAATTTTAATTTTCAATACACGTAATCGGTAAAATATAAAAAAAGTAAGGTCCTGAATTTTAGAAGTTCTCCATCAGTTTGGAATAGCATAGTTTCATTTAAACCGAATCGTATTTGTATATATCAGTAGAACAACGTATATAAATAGATACGAGAATAGATAGATATGTAAATAAAGAGATATTTTAACTCTAGAACTTTATCATTCTGTAAATAATATATTTTGATCTAAATATATATAATTTTTAAATATATTTATAAGAATCGTCTTACAAATGAAATCGTAAATTTTTCGATATCTAATACACACGCTAGTAGGGTATACCTACATTTCCTATATCTATTTAACTCAAAACGTTTCAATTTTCAGATTCACACAATTTAGGTATCTAAAATTTCATATAAAATAAAAAAAATCTTTAAATCTAGAAGATTACTCATAAGATAGTAGAGTTTATAAAACCTATCGTTTTATAAACACAAAGAAGAACTACTCAAAATGGAAATACAATTTGCGAGGTAAAAAGAAAATGTACCTTAATAAGTACCGTAATGTAAAGACTCTATCAGACTTTATTTCTAAGTAAACTTATGATGTAACTACTTCAGTAAAAGGACCCGTATATCCAGGAAAGTTATGTAGGAATATCTATAGAAAATTCTACATAATTGTGCCTCAAAATGTACAATGATACCGACTCACAGAGTTTTGTAATTATTATCTAAAGGTTAATTTATTATTTAAGAGTTATAAGCGTCATAATTTCAATAGTAATATCAATGTGCAATAGTATAGACGTTGTCAGTATAAAATAAATACATTCCAAAAATATTAGACACTCTTAAATCTGTCTAGAATTTCTTCAAAGTTGGGAGCGTCTCCAGTGCCGCACCTGTTGAGAAAGGCTTCGTTTTATTTTCAATATACTTGTAAGACAGTTATTTACTTAAATAACTTTGTAATACACCAAATAAAATATAGTTTTCAGTGTTATTTTGCAAATAAGCCTGGTGAAACAGCTAGTCATTCACGAATGTCGTACTTATTTCAATAAGTAATTAATTTATGGACAACTATTTATTAATTTAGATATTTGCAACTACTAAAAAACTATTTCAAATGTCTTTTGCGAAGGCCTTTAGCCTATAGCCTATAGTATTCGAAATAGTTAGTCTTATAATTATATAATAGATTACTCTATAGTATTTCATTAATAAAATTTAACTTTTTGTCCAAAATATATATTTGAATCCATTGTTTTTTAATTTCCATATTCTAAAAATTTAGTATAACTATTTTCCATAAATAAATTGAAAATAAATTACCCGTGTCATCAACTGTTAGAATTGACTCTGTGTAGGTGCCCCGTCGAAAGACTCCTCATTGATCAATCTTAACTTCACTGATTCTCTCCTCAGATTATAACTCGTCGATATATGACAGTGCTTCACGTCAACTGTCAGAAGATCCTCATTAAGCTCCACTCCACTTTTCTCAACATCGGCGGCAGCGCTAGGTTTTCTTTTATGTCTAAACGACGTACCCCTTTGTGAGCTAGAACCTAAGTAACTATCTGTTGTAGTGTTACCATTAAATGTTTTCTCAGACTGTCCAACACCCAACTGCTCTAATTGAATATTACCCCTCAACTGCGCTGAGGAATCTATGCATGGGATCAATTGCTTAAATTCCTTTCTAAAGTTCTCGTTCATCCACGCGTAAATGAAAGGATTGTAGCAAGTTGACGACATTGCTATCACATGACCTATAAAAAATACTAGAAAGTAGTATTTCCAATGGATCGCGTAAATATAATAATCATTGAACAAGTTAATGACATTCAGAGGTAGCCACGATAACCCGAAAATAGTGACCATAGCTATTAACATCTGGTTTGTTCTACGCTTTCTGCTTTTGTCTAATTCTTCTTTGCGAGAGTTTTTGCTGGCAGCCTTCGCTTTTGCTCGGTCATTCAATTTGAAACTGACACATGTGTAACAGAATGCAATCACGATGAACGGCAAAACGAATTGCATCACAGATGTAACCGACCCGAAAATCCGTCTCAATTTCTCGGTCGGCCATGTCTCTTCACATAATCTGCCTATGTCTAAATCGTAATAAGTCATAAATATGGCGTACGGCATCGTCACAGTCACGGAAAAAGTCCATATCATAATAATAACGGTTATACAAGTTTCTACTTTCATTCTCGGTCTAAAAGGGTAAATTATCACAAAGAACCTATCGATAGCTATAGACATAAGTGTTAATGTGGATATGTAAACGCTGCACCCTTGTGCGAAAGGCATTATGTGACATAAGAGAGAGCCCCAGCTCCATGATCCCCCGAAGGAATATAACGGTGTGAAAGGGACGGCAAATATACATAATAAAATATCGGAAAGAGCTAAATTACTGATGAACAAATTGGTGACAGTCTGCATCGCTTTATTTCTGATAACGACGAAGCAGACTATGACATTCCCTGATAACCCCAAAATGAAAATGATAGTGTATATGACGCAGAAAAAGGCTTGCAGCCCTTTGTTGTCGATGATGTTTTCGTAGCCCGTCGGATACGCCGGTGGCAGACTGTCTGGCGTCTCATTTCTAAATTTTTCCGATATATTGCCCAATCCAATGTAGTTCAGTGCTGTTTCGTTCATTATACGTTTTCACGTGGTATTTTCCGTAATAAAAGATAGATAACAATTTATTCTTAGCTTTAAAATGACAGTTTTACGATCTCCGCCAATAGAATTTATTGTTGTTGAAACCTGTAACAAAGGATTGTGCTGTTAATATTTATGTTTCCTTGAAGTTGACTGTATAAGTGTTTACCTAATGAAATTTATTTCAATAGTAAATCCGTCAATATTATAGGCTGTAAAATTGTAGAAATATCTTCAAACGATAACAAATAGATCGACAAACAAAATAATAAGTAGTGAAAAAAAGAATCGACTATATATATCAAATCAAATCCAAATATAATGCATGTAGACATTACAGACTCTTATGATATGTGAAATCTGCCGTCAGTTTTAATATTTAGGAGTATTTATACACATTTAGTAAAATATTCTTGGACAAGATTATTTGTCAAAAACGAACAAAATCTTTCATATAATTTGCAGGCTTATTGTGGTAAATATTGCTGATCAATAATATTTTAATGTAACATCTGATGTACTGTACCAATAAATCGTAAAATAAATTATTTTATTTCATGTTATTACCCAGAAATCAGCGTACCCTGTTAGATAAAGTATTGTCTAATGTGTATAATACACATGAAAATTCCAGAATATTAAACTCAGAAGTATTCAAGATATTATGCTATATTTTACAAGCCATTAAAATTGTGAAATATATCTTTTATTACTGTATGCATTTATATATTTTTGAACTCTAGTGTTCATACTGAGACATAAATTTTAGTTATTGCATTTTTAACGTATATGAGAAGTTTTAATGTAGTTCTAATATTATTTTACGTTTCTATGTAATTTATGTACATATAGTAACAACAATAGATCAATTAAGGTTGAAGTCCTATTGGATTGTTTGTATTATATATTACTAGCTGTGCCGGCGGTTTCATCTGCGTGAAATTCATAATTAATAAGCTGTATTATACAAAGTTTCATAAAAATCCGTTCAGTAGTTTTTGTCTTCTAGCCAGCCTAGATGAGAATAGTTAACGACGCGACTTCTACTCCAAACGTTCTAAGTTCCTCAAGTTGATTTTCTTTTTAGAAAAGAAGAAGATATCAAAACGGAGATGAAATTTTATATAGAGTCACGTGGGGCAAGTGTGCGCAGCGAGTAAGTGTACGCACTCGAAGTGTTTCAAAAACGGTTTATAGGTACGAACTGATAACACCCCTCCTCATTAGCGCACAAAAGGCTATACTTAGTGCAACTTTTTCACTGTCCGCCGGTGAACCATTCTGTTTCCGTAAGTGAGTATTGTTTTTTGCTTGAAATATTGCGATTTTTGTCTTAAATGAGAGACTCATTCCTTTGTAATATATTTATATTTTGAAATCATGCTTTATACCATCGAACAGTACATTTTATGTAATATAAGCCGTGTTTAATCTTTTGGTGATGACGATTACGTAATATTGCTCAGTTCTGGTTAAATTTTATTTTGATGGTTTGGGGTAAGTGTGCGCATACGAATGTCGGGTATGTGTGCGCATGCGAATACTTACCTCGCTCCGCTTTGGCTTTGTATTTATGATGCAATTTGTTATTTCAGAGTTTAATTATACATAAAAAATGCCTCGATTATAAAAGAAATATACCGGATAGAAGTGTTGTCACAGAGGAACAGCTAGCTGTTAAAAGATTAATTTCGGAGGTTGGTAGCAAACAACAGTGTGGCACCCGCAATAATGAGTGTACCTTCGTCTAGGAATGAATATGTATGACTGTCATCCATCCAAGAAATACCGAAGTTGGCCTTAGGCATCTCTTGGATGAATGACTGTGATTCAAAATCGGCGAAAGAAAGGCAAAAAGTCAATCATTGATACTGTAAGTCCTTATAAAGTAGAATTGGAAAAATCAAAAAACAAGAGGAAGAATAAATTGCCAAAAAAGAAGATACGACTTGATCTGAAAATAAATAAAATGATGAGCAGGAATTATTTTGCCCACTGTGTGGAGAAAAATACATATTTCCACCGAATGAAGACTGGATCCAATACAGCATCTGTAAGAGCTGGTGGCATGAACAATGCAATAACTTTGAAAAGGAATTATTTGAACTGATGTATTATTAGGTTGAGGATGTCTATTTTCTGGTTTATCATATGAGTCTGACTCTATTTACTGTATGTTACATGTTGCGTACACTTACCCACACTACTGCGCACACTTACCCCTATACTTGGGTAAGTGTGCGCATTTAAACAGTTTTGATTTTGTTGATTTCCAAAGAATTTGTGTAAATGATAATTATTTATTTTGCGTTTAAGTTGTTGATTATTAAATATTTTATATAATAAACCTTGTTTTGTTCCAGTTAACTTCAAATATTTTATTATATGATACTTCAAACCTTAAGTGCGCACACTTGCCCCACGTGACTCTAATGATTCATTTTTGCACATATTATAAAATACATACAAAGACCTTACGCAAAACTAATACTGGAAAATTCTTATCACCCTAAGTAACCTTCCTCAGATCTCTATGTACATAGAGCCTAAGTAAACTATAGTACTCAGAACCGCAAAAAAGGCATTCTTATGTAAATATATGGAAAATCACGTCACGAATCTGATTCCACGTACGTTTGCTAAGAAATTGCTGAGTTGGCAAATTGGCTAACTTCCAGCGCCGCCGGGTTCGTCCTCAAATACGGGTATTACTTACTCTTGAAAGTTTCTGGCTTATTCATTTGCATCCCCTTTTAATAAAACTACGTGCACTAGAAGCTTTAGATTTTTTAATTTAATTGGAATGACAAAAACACCTAATGGTAAGTGATAACTGTCGCCTATATACATGGATAGGATGGATCATGTTATAGCCGTGATACCACTTGTACATTTTCATTCCAGAGGAATAAGATGTCAATACATCTTATGCTGTTATTTTACTGCCTAATCGCACCCTACAACTAAAACAGAGCTGTTTGGCGTCGGCAATAGGTATGACTGAGGTACCCACTTAGATAACTTCTAACAGCCTAAAAAAATTATTAATAATAAATAACAAAGCATCTTCATATGTTAGTTTGTTTGCTGAAGATCTGAACTTCCAACATTCGTTATTAGAAATAAATAAGATAAAATTAACATTTGATTAATTTAACTATATAAATTGCTTACAAATATATGACATACATTGTTTGGAAGTATGACAACTTAATCCTTAGGAATAGCAACGCAGAAGGTAGCATGGCCTTTACAGGATATGCGTTGTGCTGTAATCAGTTACCATCAGGTGTGCTGTCAACTAGTTTACCAATATTTGGAAAAGAAAAGAAATTTCCTAAATGATCATAGTCGAGAATCGATTATATAAACTAATTTACGCATAGCAACGTCTTTCGCACTACGCTATTTATTCACGCTAAAATCCCTACAAACTGCTTCACATATCTAAGAAATACGAGCGAAACAAAATGATACAGCTTTATTGCTACAAGAAAAGGATGCGAATTTTATTTGTCCTTAGGGAGAATTCTGAAGGGACCGTTTTCGTTTTGATAAAATTCTCCATTTAATTTCGTGGTCGGTAAGGGTTAGAAAGGGTTATATTTTCCTAGTCCTATTTATTTTAATTATTAAGTGTACACCGTAGTTTTTTAAAGTGAGAAGTATTATGTATGTTGGTCTATAGCCTATCTGTGTACCATATTTCATTTAAACATATCCAGCGGGTTAAGCAAGACTAAAAAATAAACATTAACATACAAACTACCATATTTATTACTCGTATATTAGTAGAATATTAGACAAACAAGCAGATACTCCAAATATTATTCTAAATTCTCCTTTGTTTTAATTAATTAAGTTTTGATATATGATCACGTATTCACTACTAATATGTATAAATATACAGATAGAGCTTCTTGGTTAAATGTATTTAATAAATGTAATACAAATAATTTTTAAGAATCCAATTATTGTAACATTTTATTATTTAAATTATCTTACTTACAATTATTTTAGTAGCATTTAAAAATAATACTTCAATTTTATTTTCTATCGATAATTATGATTTATGTATAACGGTTTCTAAATTGGAATTGAGAATTAAATGAGTTCATATTAAACTTTAACAAATTTTAGTAATTCCTAGGAATATCGTATTATATATATTGTTCTATAGTAGAAGATGCTAAGCTAAGCAAAAAAATTGATACAGTTGACTTAGCAAAAATAGTACATATTTTATTCGTACGTCAAGTTCTCAAGATTGTAAAATTATGTTTAGAAAATAAAAATCGACAAAAGCATTAATAATACAAGTAAAACTTGTACATATCATATTAATAGATTATTGTACTTTGTAGACCTTACACGTCTTATTTAAGAAGCTACAAACAATAAATCACGTGTATTCACTTCTTCAATTCAGTCTTAAATTGTTGTCTAATTACAACTAAAATGTTTATCTGTAACTATTGTGCTCCAATTTACTAAATCATTTAAACTAAGTATTACAAAATGAATTAGAACAACCATTAGAGAATATTTTAGGTTATTTTTAAAGAATGTAGGAGGCAATTCAGGGATTTTTTACTCACAATTATTGAAGCAAAGGTTGTAACTGGCCAGCAACACATAGGATGGGTTATTGTACAAAACGGAATAACATTCTAAATTCAAATTTGAAAATAGAAACACTATTATAAATATATTTATTTTTGACAAAAAATCGTGAGGTGTTTTCTCTGGAGGACATGCGCGGAGTGGTGTCTGGGCATGCGTGGTAGGTTGGCCGGGGAATGGTGGCAAGCAATTATTTCTATGAAATTTCCGACTCACCGCGCTATATCGGAAATTTCAGGGCTTGGCCCGTTCCAGGCGCGTCAATGGCGACATTTTAACAGATAGCAGTGACGGCGTGATTTTTTTTATCAATTAGAGATGTGACTTTGCATTTTAATTTCTCATTTAGTTATTTCATTGTTCTGTGTTTA